CGTAAAGGAGCCTTTGTGCTCGACATGAACAAGTGGAAACGTAAAGATAAAACATGCATGCTGTGTACCAACCCTTTCCTGGAGAACAAAAAGCAAAAGCTACCCCTGACAGTGGTGGACTGGAGGGCAAAGCAGTCCTGCAGTGCCAAAGTTTCCACCAAACTTCACAAATCCAGCGAGTCTCTTGTCGGTTCCAGCGTCTCCTCTGTTGAAAACAACTGGAAGGTGAATCTAGATCTTCAAGTGGGGAGTAAAGGTGCGTCACTGATGCTGGCTGGTACCAATTCTCATCTCTCGAGTTACTCCATGGAAAAAACCAAGAATGACAAGTACAGCTTCGCAAGCCACAGCATGTCCTGCGAGTACTACAGGTAAGAATACGAGTACTCTGATGCGCTGTCTCTTTGTTATCAAGATAAAAATGCTGAAATGCAATTCTGATGTTTAATTGTTGTTCTGGAATCAGCTACAGAGTGTCCAGTGCTCCAAAGCTGCACAGAGAATTTCGCAAAGCTCTGACAAAACTTCCCAAAACCTACAGCGCAGAAACCAAACAACGGTTTTACAAACTCATTGATGACTTTGGGACCCACTACATCACCAAGGTGAACCAGAATAACAACAGTGCACCTGAAACACAGCAACATTTTGTCAGTCATTTCTGAGTAACACATGCAAATTGTGTTGGATTATTTGATTCCAGGTGAAACTGGGGGGAAGTATCGAGTCTGTCACCAGCATCAGACAGTGCCAGGCCAGCCTTCAAGGGCTCAGTGCCGAGGAGGTGCAGATGTGCCTCGAAGTTGAAGCGTCTGCCAGTATTAAAGATAAAAAAATAAGTACTGAAGCAAAACACTGCAAAAAGGATATACAGCAGACAGACAGTAAGTCTGCCTTCTCCAGCCTCTTCAATGACAGGTATGTAAAAGTTTTCTCAGATATTTCTGATTTGTTATCTCTTCTAACCCCAGTGAGGTGTCAGACTTGTTCTTCCATATCTAAACCATAATAATTAACAGCTATATAATGCCCTGTATCTGGTGGCTTCAGAGTTAAACTCCTTAAAGACTGACTCCTCCAGTGCTGTTATGATTTCTTTCTGTCGCAGCTGTTCAAGCAACTTTGTCCTCCACAGGTTCACAGAAATAAAAGGTGGTCATACCACAGAGCCAGACCTTCTCTTCTCTGCTGACAAAAATCCAGAAGCCTACAAGGGATGGCTGAGCACATTACCACAAAACCCAGACATCGTGTCATATTCCCTGGACTCTCTGCATGAGTTACTACCTACCACGTGCAAAGTCAGAAAAAACCTGCGCTCTGCCATTAGCCATTACATCCTGGAGAAAGGTCTGTGGAGAAACTGCACTGATCGCTGTAAGGCTGGAATTAGAACCGACTCGAGGGATGCCTGCGTCTGCCAGTGCCACAATGACCTTGCCGTGAACCAAGACTGCTGCCCTGTTCGTAAGGGAATGGCGCGGGTCATCATAACAATACAGCGGGCTTCTGGTCTGTGGGGCGACCACACCACCAGTACAGATGGATACGTGAAGGTGATTTTCAACAAATTAGAAGTCCGGCGTTCTCCTGTCATTTATAACAACAACAACCCACACTGGGGCATGGTCGTCGACCTGGGCTCAGAGGATATTTCATCAGCTAAACTGAGATTTGAAGTTTGGGATGAGGACAAC